TATTTAGGAACGGAGGGAGGATAATCTTTGTATACCAGTATATATGTGCATATGCTTCAGAGTGTATAACATGCTCATTGATTATTTTGTTATTAAACAGTGCTTGCTGGAGATGACAAATCAAGCGCGCTAAGAAGGCAAAGCAAAGGCCAAAAATTTGTCTGATTTCCTGTGCTTGGGTACGAGCTGGTTTGTAGCAAAGGAAGATACCCTACCTTTTTACAGTGGTAGATTTTATAACGAGGGAGGTACTCTGTTTTTTTAGATGGAAGATACTCTGCTTTGTGGCAAGGGGAGATACCGTGTTACTTCTGCCCCATTTTTGTACATCTAGGCTTAATAACAAGATTACGCTCTTTGTTAAGTAACTTTGTGATGGTGCGCTTCTCGTGATGAGGCCCCTATGCATCATGAGACGATTGATTGTAAGTAAGCATAAAAAGCATTCATGTGCAATCTTTAATTGGTATTACAGACTTGATTGTGTGCCACTCTATTTTGTGCATCAGATCTGGTAAGGCTCTTCTTGTTTTGTTTTGTTTTTTTGTTCCTTTTCTTCGTTTGCTCGGCAACGGACATATTGATTCAAGTTACTGTTTGGAGAAGCTGAGGGCAGGACCTTAAAGAAAGTAGAAAAGTAAAGAAATGGTGGCAAATAACGAAAGAAGATATTTGAATCATGTTGGTTTTGAAAATTGTCATGATTATGCATCCTCGCTGTTGTAATGCCACAATCAAAGCTCATTTATTCATTCTTTTACTTCTATCTTTCATATATGGCCCAATATACACATGTTTGCAATTGTTCATGTTTCTTCTGGAAATGCACAAGTCCTTACATCTCAATTTTATTACATGAGAATTCTTGTTACACTGAAATTGTCAAAACTGCAATGTTTCCGCTAACAAACCAATGTGTCATTTTCAAATCCATTTGATTTGTGCTTCGTCTCACCATGAATGATGCCACCTCCCTTTTTTTTCTCTGTGGCAACGCACAGGCATTTGACTAGTATTTTTCACATATAGGTGTGATTTTATTTGACCTCAGAAAGTTTGGTTTGGTTTGGTTACACAGTAATGGTAAAAGCACAGGTGTGCAAGCCGTGACAACTGACAAGTCTATGGTGTAGGCTTACGTTTTGTAATTAAAATAAGAAACCAATGTTTAAAAAATATTACCTTCCTGTCAGCCCTGGCATAACCGAAATAAGGGATGACTGCAGTAATATTCTTAGCAGATGCTCTTCTGCATGCATCAATCATGATGAGTAGCTCCATGAGATTCTCGTTTGCTGGAGGGCATGATGGTTGCACAAGGAACACATCGCAGCCCCTTACACTTTCTTGTAACTGAACATATATTTCGCCATCAGCAAACCTTTTTATGTTGATCTTCCCAAGTTCTAGACCCATGTAGCTTGCTATTTCCTGTCACAAGACACCAGGAAGAAGAAAAATACAGCTTAGAGTGGCATTGAGTGACAAATCATTCAGTTTAGCATGGAAGGATTTATAACAAGTATTCAATTTGAATAATAGCTTTCCAGTTTCCACAGTTCGTGTCTTTTTAAGCCTAGTTCACATTTGCATAGTTGTTTGTCTAAGCTAAACCCACTTACCATTTCCCTTGCAAAAAAAGGAGTGTGCTCCTCAGAACCAGGAGGAGGACACGATGATAATAGTGTGTGGAGCTGCAGAAGTATGAAAGGTGAATTTCTCCAAGGAAGATCCAACCGACCTGGGCGAGCGAGGGGTTAGCCGTTCCTGAGAAGATGCGCAGCCTCGTGTCGTCCTTCCTGATGTTTGCGTCCCCGAAAATCGGCATCGTCGCAGGGGTCCACGGCGACCTGTCGGACAGGGGAACGCAGGGGGGTGATCCATTGACCGCCCTCAGCCTCACAGGATCGACCCTCTGGCACCTCTGCATGCACAAAGATGAATTTCGCTCAAGTACACTACCACGAGCAGTTCGTCCTACCAAGCTGACCATACACGGTTGCACGCTGCGCTAACAATCAAGCTGCTTCCGTTCGACGAAGCACACATCAACAGAAAAAAGGAAAGAGTGCACAGCGCATGGACGAACAATCGTTCGCGCAAGCAATGTGCTAGCGGGCTCCAGGAAAGGAAACCAATCTGTAACGAAGGCGAGCGGGGGTAGGGGTAGGGGGTGGGGAGGGCGGAGCTCACCACGGCGGCGTGGCCCGAGCGCGCGCGAAGGAGGCGGCCCCGGCTTCGGGCGGCGAGCGGGGACGCCGCCGGCCCGGCCGCGACGGCGGCGGCGGAGGAGGAGGAAGGGAGCGGCATGGGGAAAGGTCGCTCGCTGGCTAGGGTTTAATCCGGGTTAAGCCGAGGGGTTTGCCATCAGTTCCAGCCGCCAACGGTTTTATGAAAGAGTCTTGGCAACTGCCAACGGTTTTATGAACTGATGAATTAATTGTCTGATCTGCCTGCGCCGTAATTTGCAGATGAGAAGGTCGTTCTCTTTAATTTCCACCTGGTAAAAAAATCAAGCGTGGGGTATTCAAAGAAAAAATATACATGATATGTTTCTTTTTTTTTCTGTCGGTATGCTTCTTTAAATGTCAAGAGCTTAACTATAGAATAAAATGACCTTCTATTTACTTCAATAACAAAACATCCAATAAAACATACAATATTTTCTACTCCCTGCGTCTTTTTGAATTCTTTGGATTGCTTACCGCATGTGTCACTGGTAATAAAAAGCCATACACACCGTGTCGATGTGCTGAAAACAATGTCCCTACGTCTTATATTATGAGACGGACCTAGTATTAATTTGATAGAATTTTACAAGACATAGCAAACATCTATTTACGAGACATAAAAAAAATTAAGCGCTGCATATTCCAAGAAAGAAGTATGTACTATATGTTTCTTCAATGTCAAGAGCTTAACTATATATAGAATAAAATGATCTTCTATTTACTTTAAAGAAAAAACACACAATTAAAGATACAATATTTTCTATTAATTTGGTAAAAGTCTACGAGACATAGCAAACATTTTATCGGTAATAGATGCTCTGGTTAAGTGATCTGTTTTCTTTTACAATGTGACATTTGCTTTATATTGTAAGTGTCTATAATAATAATAATTAGAACACCAACAACAACAACAACAACAACAACAACAATAACAACAACAACATATCAATTACATGCATATTACAACTCAACTAAAAAATACATGCACATTACAAGTAATTTTCCCAACGTGTTTGGCAACGATGGGGAGAGGGAATGGGAATTCAGAGATGGGAGTTTGTAGAGAGATTAGCACGGGAAATTGATATTAAATCCCATTCCTTTGTTTGGCATGTGAAGGCAGTTAGACTAGGAAATTTAAGAGAGAGTTAACTACCCCTATTTAGTTGGAAGGATTAGGCAGGGGCTAAAAAACTATCAACGGTGCCTCTTCTCTTGCGCACATACCAAACAAACCGATCGTTATATTCTTTTGTCAATTCCCAGTCCCCACTCCAATTACCTGGGGTCCCCCAGGGAAGATATCTGAGGGAGTTAGCCCTCTTAATTCCCTTTCCCCTTCCCTTCACAATTACCATGTTCCCGAGCCAATCAAAGGATTTTAAGTCTCACATACTATAAACTCCCATTCCCAATCTTCAACTCCCTCCAACCAAACACGCTGTAGAGGGATGGAAGTAGACATCGCATCTATTTCAAAGCAAAATGAATTGTTTTTCGAGCCTACCCTCTTTCTTGATTAATATTTTGGCGAAATAGCCAAAGGTTATATTAACTAGGACGAACTCATGAAAAATAACCTTACTGAAATCAAAAATACATTCATATTCTTAGGGGTACCGAAGTCTTCTTCTTGCATCCACCGACAAACCTTGAGCAAAACTCACTGCTACTTTTAGGCCTCCGTCTCAACAAAGCAAACTTTCTTAAACACAAGATCTTGTAGAGGCAGCGGCAAATAAGTTGTCACTGCCAGGAGACGCCGGCGGCCACGGTCTACATAGCGAATTGCCACCCCGGAGAAGAAAACGACCTAGGGAGCTATAGCACGCCCCAGAGAAAACAGGATCGGTTGCCCCAGTTTACATCTAATTTTGATTATTTGCCTCCACCCCCTCCCCTGGGATTGACGGGTGGGGCCGGACCCACTAGCCATTGAGACAATCCTAAGGCAAATCATTAAACCCCATGTAAAGCGAGGCAAATGATCCAAATCCCTAAGATCCAACTAGGCGGAGTCAGGGAACACAAACCTCACACGCTCCCTGACGAGACCGAGACCGACCAACCTTCATCGATCGAAACTAGAGTCGGGGGATCAAGACGTACAATCATGTTGCCTGCTCCGAAAGACAACATGATCGGGACAAAACTTATTAAATGCCAACGGCGACACCATCATCTCGCCACCGCCGAATGGAGACCTATCTACTGCTCCAAGAGGAGAAAACTATGACTCCCACCGGTAGACCGGGGCCTCCCCCTCACACCCCTACAGGCGGAGCCGGCGGGTGAGGAGGCAGGCTATCTACCGACGGCAGAGGAGGATGACGTATGAGGAAACACGTTAGTGCAAGTGATTTCTGATCGCCGTTTTACTTGATCAAGAGAGCTTCACAAGGATGAAAGATCGCCCTCTGCTGTTTTCATTCGAAAACACCACCACGACCAGCAGCATCTATGGTTGTTTCATACTACGACACATTCATCCACAACATGAAAAGAGAAGCCGAACCAACAAATTTCAGTTGCAGGCCACTCGCTGCCTCAGCACAGTTGGAAGAAATCATGCGGTATACCCAAGTCTCATCGTATGATGATTTGTTAGAAAATGTATATTGGCCACAAAACAGGCGGAGCAACAGCGATTATGTTCAGCACTCCACCATTATTACAGGGCTAGTGATGAGTTCTGCTCCAGGCCAAATTCCAGTCGAGTAAACAATATTCAGAGTCACAGAAAGCAGTACGGCTACCTACAGACATCCCTTACACCATTAGCTGGGCGATGTCCTTCCGGAAGACACCCTCCATCATGTCCTTCCTCCTGGCGGTGACGGACGGGAACGGCGAGCTGGAGAGGCGCCTGCACTGGTTGCCCGCGCTGATCCTGGTGGACTGCATCATCGTGGGGAGGATAGGGAAGGACTTGGGCCGGATGTTCAGGGGCGAGAACAGCATCTTGCCGCTCGAGTCGTGCGTCGAGGTCTTTGAGGCAGGCTTCTGAGCTCCTACGGCCTTATTCATGGTCGAAAGGTGCCTGAGTTGCTCCGGGGGGGAGCCTGGCGGGCCTGGAGGGTGGGGGCGGATCTGTGCTGATGGCTTCATGCGGTCGAGCCAGCGAAGGACCGCGTTTCCGACGTTCCGACCAACTTCCAAGTCCCTCTCCTGAATGTTCTTGTGCACTGAGACTGCGACGTCGAATATAGAACGTGTCCGCCTGCATAACATGGAGAAGAGAAGGGTCAAATCAATCTTGATTGCTGGCTAGCATCAGAAACTGACATAACCATTATTTGGTCCCAAAAATGCAGTGACAATTTCAATAAGCATATCCCATCTTAGGTATTGATGACAAGCAGTCATCACTAGTGTACGACCAGATTTAGCACAGCAGACAGCATCAGGTTTACAAACCAGTACAGGACATCACACCAGAGTCAAACATAATTATATCACACAACACTACTGAAATTAAGGTTTCAGGCTGAATACTACAGAGGATAATGGATGGTATAAGCGACCGGAATGCAATAGTATTTATCTGCTGGCAATATTCAGAGAGAACAAAGTACACTAGACACAAACAATATCTACTCCCTCAGTACCAAAATAAGTGTCTTTGATTTAGCACAACTTTAGGACGGAGGGATTATTTACAACAAGGTGAAATGAGTCTCATGCAATTCAAACACATAGAAAAGCTACAAAGTGTTGCCTGTTATGTTTATGTTTCAAAAGTAATCTAAGCTAAGTAGGTAATCCAAACAGCACAAAATAACCAGAGAAATGAACTCAAGACTGTATGCAAATTGAAGTGTGTTAGACTTTTCTCAACTCCAAATGAGCGGGAGCTCAAAAGTATAATGCTCCTACAGAATGCTTTACATTTAAAACAAATGTCGTCCTAAAGCTAGAAATGCTGGGCCAGTAAAAGATAAACCTCCCACCTCTAATGAGATAACAGGAACGCCTGCCTATCGTTTTATGTTGAGACCTTACGTTGGACAGCTTGTGTGTATCACTCGACTACTGGTCTGTTTTTGCCACTAGAAGAAACCTGAGGTGTGGTCACATTGGACTAGCTCCTGGCGAGGATTAAAGGGACAGACAAAGCAGAAAATCTGCTACAGTATGGCCTGCGCAGCTGCGGCCGTGTTACCGAAGACACCTGACAAAGCAAGAAGTGCTACAGGTAGCTAGGAGCACATCCTATGAGGCTAGTAGGTGCCGTGTAGCAGCACAGGGCGGCAGATTTACCGCAGATTTCATTCAGCCCAAGCTTCCCCTAATCCGAAGCCAATTCTTTGTTCTGGCGCTGTACCCATTGCTACAGCACACGGTTCACCGGACGCGCACGCTAAGCAGGAGCAAAGCATTGGTCGATGGGCACGGCGCGGCAGGACGCGACAGCACGACCAGTCAGCCAGCGAGGGCCGGACGCGGCAGGAGGCTGGCTGAGCCCAAGGAGACGCCGGGGGCGAACAAGGCCGTCGTGAATCGGGCACGAGTACGAGCGGGGGTGGGGGGCGGCGATTTGGTACCTGTAGACGAAGTCGCGGAGCCTGGGGTGGTTGGGCCCGATGAGGCGGCGCTGGCCGCGGAGCGCGAGGCGGTAGGTGCGGCGGAGGCCGAGGAAGTAGGCGGTGATGGCCGTGATCTCCCACAGCACCATCTCTCCGCGGCGGTGGGGTTAGCGGAGGCGGGGAGAGGGTTTTTACGGCGACGGCGGCGAGCGGATTTGGCGATTCGGGAAAGGGGAAGCGGATCGATTTGAGTCGTGGGGAGGGGGGCAGACACCAAGCAGCCAGTAAAGTAAAGTAAATCTGGAAGGATGGAGGATCGGGAAGAAAGCATATGCCGGAGCGGAGCCGTGTCGACGCGTGTGCCGCCTTGTTTTGCTTGCAGGAGGGGTCTGTGTGCGTCGCGTAAGCCGTGATGCGAGCGAGCGATGCTTCGCTTCTCGCGGCCGCTTTGCTTCCTGCTTCTACTGTTTTTTAGTTAAGTTGATTCATGTCTGTGCGATGCAACGGGATATAAATATTCTATAGTACATTAGCTTGTGATTTATTTGTCAACAATGATATGATTGTGTAAATAAATGTTCATTAAATTCTATCTGTGATATTTTGATCAGAAGTTTGATAAGTAAAAGTAGAATTGGTTCAGAAGATACGTATGGTTATTGATTATCAGGTAATGGAAGGTTGGACAAAGAATGATGGAAAGAAAGATGAAATGAAAATCTTACGTTTTTTAAGTGCTAGACTAGAGATAAAATCCATCATTTGTCAGGTGTGTGCTTACTACGTTTGTATCCTCTTGATGCTTCATTTTAAGTTAATAAAATTCATCATTTATCGAGAAGAAAAAAAAACAACTCCTTCCACATACCGAGCGGGCCTCTCGCCCACCTGCAAAACTCAACAGCTCATTCCTTCTCCCGACGCACGTCTCTCGGCTTCTCCCGCTCCGTTCACGCCTTGCAGGTCCGTCACCATGGCATGTTGCAGATCTGGTGGTGATCTTGCAGCTCATAGTGGTTCAACAGCATGGCGGCGGTGCTTGCAACTGCGGATGGCAGGCATTGGAGTTGCAAATTGATGCCCGTTGCAACCAGGGTCGTGCGTCGCCCTCCTTGTAACACCCTTGTCGTCATGCTACAGTAAACTCCTGCTAATGACTGCCAAGTCATCACAATTATTTTACTACTCATCACTTTGTTCCAAATCAAACTCAAATTCAAATTAAATACAAGTCAAATTATTAATTCTTGAAAAGGTAAATTAAAAATGTTCGTTGGAATGTTCACTAACTAATTGTCACGAATAATTCAACATCATTTGAGATATTTAAATGCCCCTAAAATATTCAAAATTGGACCAACAACATTTATTTGGGACTTTTCAATTTAAACAAATACCTACACTGTTCGAAAATATTTGACTCTTGTTGTGATGGCTCAAACCACTGCCTAATATTTATGTGCTAAATACTGGGTTCAACTAAATTCATTTAGTATGTGAAATAAAGTGCAAAACAGTAAAGAATTAAAAAGGGGGAAAAGGCCGCATGCCATTGCGCACTTAGGTCTGCACAACGCCAGGGCGGCCCAGCCTACCCCCCCCCCTCGTCCTATTCCCCCCTATACACCCAGGGCGCGCTGGACACCTGGAGCACGTCCATGGCTAGGGATTGTCCACGCGGCGTGCATTCAGCTCTACCTCGGCGTCTACAAGGCCCTTGCCCCCTGGAACCCTAGCCACTATCCCCCTCTTCCCACTCGCTCTCCTCCCCGATCTGGAGAGGCACCCGACATGATCGTCGCTATTGCCGCGTTGATCCAAGTTGGTATCAGAGCCAGCTGCCTGCAGGAACCCCCTTCCAAACTCCTTGGTCGAAGTTGAGTCTAGTCTTTGAAAAACTTTTTTACTAACATTGTTATTGAAGAAAATATGCCCTAGAGGCAATAATAAAGTTGTTATTTATATTTCCTTATATCATGATAAATATTTATTATTCATGCTAGAATTGTATTAATCGGGAACTTAATACATGTGTGAATACATAGACAAATAGAGTGTCCCTAGTATGCCTCTACTTGACTAGCTTGTTAATCAAAGATGGTTAAGTTTCCTAGCCATGGACATGTGTTGTCATTTGATGAACGGGATCACATCATTAGAGAATGATGTGATGGACAAGACCCATCCGTTAGCTTAGCATAATGATCGTTCAGTTTTATTGCTACTGCTTTCTTCATGACTTATACATGTTCCTCAGACTATGAGATTATGCAACTCCCGAATACCGGAGGAACACCTTGTGTGCTTGTTGGGGAACGCAGTAATTTAAAAAAAATTCCTATGCACACGCAAGATCATGGTGATGCATAGCAACGAGAGGGAGAGTATCGTCTATGTACCCTTGTAGACCGTAAGCGGAAGCGCTATGACAACGCGGTTGATGTAGTCGTATATCTTCACGATCGACCGATCCTAGTACCGAACGTATGGCACCTCCGCGATCTGCACACGTTCATCTCGGTGACGTCCCACGAACTCACGATCCAGTAGAGCTTCAAGGGAGAGTTCCGTCAGCACGACGGCATGATGACGTTGTTGATGAAGCTATCAATGCAGGGCTTCGCCTAAGCACCGCTATGATATGACCGAGGTGGATTATGGTGGAGAGGGGCACCGCACACGGCTAAAAGATCAATGATCAACTTGTGTGTCTATGGGGTGCCCCCTGGCCACGTATATAAAGGAATGGAGGAGGGGGGAGGGCCGGCCCTCCTATGGCGCGCCCTGGGGAGTCCTACTCCCGCCGGGAGTAGGATTCCCCCCTTCCATGTAGTAGGAGTAGGAGAGAAGGAAAGGGAAAAGAGAAGAGAAGGAAGGAGGGGGCGCCGCCCCTCCCCCTAGTCAAATTCAGACTAGGCCTTTGGGGGGGGGGGGGCGCAGCCTCCTCTATCTCTTTTCCCTAAAGCCCAATAAGGCCCATATACTCCCCGGCGAATTCCTGTAACTCTCTAGTACTCCAAAAAATACCCAAATCGCTCGGAACCTTTCCGATGTCCGAATATAGTCGTCCATTATATCGATCTTTACGTATCGACCATTTCAAGACTCCTCGTCATGTCCCCGATCTCATCCGGGACTCCGAACTACCTTCGGTACATCAAAACACATAAACTCATATTACCGATCTTCACCGAACGTTAAGCGTGCGGACCCTACGGGTTCGATAACTATGTAGACATGACCGAGACTCGTCTCCAGTCAATAACCAATTGCGGAACCTGGATGCTCATATTGGCTCCTACATATTCTACGAAGATCTTTATCGGTCAAACCGCATAACAACATACGTTGTTCCCTTTGTCATCGGCATGTTACTTGCTCGAGATTCGATCGTCGGTATCTCAATACCTAGTTCAATCTCGTTACCGACAAGTCTATTTACTCGTTCCGTAATACATCATCCCGCAACTAACTCATTAGTTGCATTGCTTGCAAGGCTCAAAGTGATGTGCATTACCGAGAGGGCCCAGAGATACCTCTCCGACAATCGGAGTGGCAAATCCTAATCTTGATCTATGCCAACTCAACAAGTACCATCGGAGACACTTGTAGAGCACCTTTATAATCACACAGTTACGTTGTGATGTTTGGTAGCACACAAAGTGTTCCTCCGGTATTCGAGAGCTGCATAATCTCATAGTCATAGGAACATGTATAAGTCATAAAGAAAGCAATAGCAACAAACTAAACGATCATCGTGCTAAGCTAACGGATGGGTCAAGTCAATCACATCATTCTATAATGATGTGATCCCGTTAATCAAATGACAACTCATGTCTATGGTTAGGAAACATAACTATCATTGATTCAACGAGCTTGTCAAGTAGAGGCATACTAGTGACAATCTGTTTGTCCATGTATTCACACATGTATTAAGTTTCCGGTTAATACAATTCTAGCATGAATAATAAACATTTATCATGATATAAGGAAATATAAATAACAACTTTATTATTGCCTCTAGGGCATATTTCCTTCAGTCTCCCACTTGCACTAGGGTCAATAATCTAGTTCACATCTTTATGTGATTAGTTCACATCTCCATGTGACAAATACCCAACGGGTTTACTGGAGTCAATATTCTAGTTCACATCGCTATGTGATTAACACCCAAAGAGTGATCATGTTTTGCTTGTGAGAGAAATTTAGTCAATGGGTCTGCCACATTCAGAGCTGTATGTATTTTGCAATTTTTCTATGTCTACAATGCTTTGCACGGAGCTACTCTAGCTAATTGCTCCCACTTTCAATATGTATCCAGATGGAGACTTAGAGTCATCTAGATCGATGTAAAAAGCTTGCATCGACGTAACTCTTTACGATGAACTCTTTTATCACCTCCATAACCGAGAAATATTTCCTTAGTCCTCTAAGGATAATTTTGACCGTTGTCCAGTGATCTACTCCTAGATCACTATCGTACTCCTTTGCCAAACTCAGGGCATGGTACACAATAGGTCTGGTACATAGCATGACATACTTTTTAGAACCTATGACCGAGGCATAGGGAATGACTTTTCATTCTCTTTCTATTTTCTGCCGTGGTCGGATTTTGAGTCTTTACTCAACTTCACACCTTGCAACACAGGCAAGAACTCCTTCTTTGACTGTTCCATTTTGAACTACTTCAAAAACTTGTCAAGGTATGTACTCATTGAAAATATATCAAGCGTCTTGATCTATCTCTATAGATCTTGATGCTCAATATGTAAGCAACTTCATCGAGGTCTTTCTTTGAAAAACTCTTTTCATACACTCCTTTATGCTTTCTAGAAAATTCTACATTATTTCCGATCAACAATATGTCATTCACATATACTTATCAGAAATGCTGTTGTGCTCCCACTCACTTTCTTGTAAACACAGGCTTCACCGCAAGTCTGTATAAAACCATATGCTTTGATCACTTTATCAAAGCATGTATTCCAACTCCGAGATGCTTGCACCAGTCCATAGATGGATCGCTGGAGCTTGCTCACTTTGTCAACACCTTTAGGATCAACAAAAATTTTCTGGTTGCATCATATACAACTCTTCTTTAAGAAATCCATTAAGGAATGCAATTTTGACATCCATTTGCCAGATTTTA